GTGTGGTGTGGTCCACCTGCCAGCCTTGAAGATCTTCACCAACAGACAATGAAAGAGAGCAGTCAGGGATAGGGCAGGATGGATATAATTGGAACTAGACACTAAGAATATGATGGGAAGCCGAAGACAAAGAAGAATAAGCCAATTATAAATGAGTTGGTGATTCCAACCAGTAAGGGTCATAGGGAAAAGTCCTAGGTGGAAGAAGGATTCCAATGGAAAGTAATTGGGAATTTGAACTGAGGAAGGAAATTAACAACATAGAGCATGAACTAGGCAGAGGAGACAATCTAGATCATAATGGGAATACAAAGGAGAAATAGAAAGGACAAATATCAGCATGAAAGTGATGATTCCACCATGAACTGCAGAGGTCTTGGGAAGGAAAACATGATGGTAACAGATACACGATACATCTAGAGCTAACATATCTGACCTACAATGACCATCAGCAAAAAAAGCAAAGGAGGTGGGATAAAGAACAGGTAGTTAATGGTTCAAAAGGAGGCTGGGTAAGGGCATGCAGAATGACATAGAAATCCCATTCCTGAATGAGCAGAGAGCAAGAAAGAATGGAGGAGACAAAAAGGATGAAAACAAGAGGGATATGACATAAGAGGAAAACACATAGTGGAAATTGGGAAAAAGGAAGGTAGAGGATAAGGCCACCACATAGTCTGGAATGGTCAATACAAACAGATCACTGTCAAACATCCAAGTAAAATATGAAATGTTGAGGAACACAAGGACTTGAAGGCTAGGAACCATGGTGCAGAAACCAATGGCAGAATATGCCATTGTCTCTTATAAACCACCAAGAAATAAGGGAGAGTACTATACATGAAATAAGGGCTGCCACACATGTGGAGAGTCAATAATCACCCCACAAGGGACCAGACAAAAGTCAGGCGTGAAGCCGGTGGAGGCAAAGCAGAATGAAACACCAATAAATAATACTGAAGGATAACGAACCTGGAGAGAAGAAAAGTCAATGGAGGAGATAGCTAAAGCTATGGAAGAACAGGGAACAAAAGCTGTGCAGGTGATTATGGAGCAATGAGAAGGACTGACATGGGGTGGCTTGGATAACAGACAAAAAAACAGGGGAAAGAGACAGGAGGGTAGGCATACCTCTAATATGTGGTCCAATCAAGACTGAAGGCATTCACTGCCACATCCAACATATGAGGAACCAGATATTAGAACAGAGGGAGTGTGCCCTTGATGACCAGTAAAGGAGCACCCCACTGGAAGCATAACACTGTAAGATCTGGGAGCCACTCCATTGGGAGAATTTTGTTGGGACGAGATAGCTGATTCACAACAAGAATGAGAGCACCCAGGACATGATCCAACATTTGAAAACAAAGTGAACTAGAATGGTTACCTTCTATGCAATAGTTTGAAATGACAATGGTCAAACAGTCAAAATGGATCATGACCAGCCTGCTCTGTACTAAAAGGAAGAAATGACTCAACACCCAACAAACTGCTAGAAGTTCCAAAAGAGTGATGTGGACCAGCAACCTTGTGAGAGTTCAAATATGTCCCCAACCCATGAAATGTATCTGTTAAAAGGGGACAACACATGACTTGGAGGTGGAAGAGGAAAGCCAGCATTGGTAATGTCTCTCTAGAGCTACTAGGAACAAATGACCTGTATAGAGGGCGGGAGGATGAAAATGGAATCCAAGGGATCCTGAATGAGATTCCATAGATCATGCAATACCCACTGAAGGTCATGCAAGGGAGCATGACCCAAGAGAAGAAGGGCTTCCATGGAAGCCCAAGTTCTCAAAAGCAAAAGAACCTCATTAGCAGCATATAAGGAGATTATTATGCAGCAATGATAACCATTAGCTCCATCAAAAGCAACCGAATAGGAGAAGGCTAGGCCTGACTAGGGAGATGTTGAAGAAAAACCCTGTAAAGGATGAAATATAGGGTTGGGACAAGAAAAGATGTCTCCATCTAAACAAGCAGCCCATATATGTAGTTTTCTCAAAAGAAAAGCATGTGAATGTGAGGTGCTTGAAGAGATGGAGCCAAAGGCAGCCAGTCATCCATGTGGTGAAGAAATCCACAGACCATATGAACATAAAAGATGGTCAAAGGTTATGTCTACCTGATCAAAACAGAGGGAATTGAAGCCAGACCCAACAGTAAAATGAGGAATGAAAAAACCTGCTAAAAATCCAGAGTAAAAACTCACTGAAGAGTGAAAAAAAACCCACAGCAGAACGAGGAATGTCAAGGAAATGGTCCAGGTTGGAAAATAATTACAGAACATCAATACCATTGTAATAATGAATTACAAACAACTGGGAATAGAGCCCCCAGAAATGGGGAATTGACTGGTAAAATAGTGTCCCAATTGAGAAGAACCCTTACTGATTCTTGTAGATGCTAGGGATACAAAAGGGATCTCAAGGAGGAGGTAAGGAAGAGGTCTGTGAGGAGTGGAGGATGGGAAAGAGAGAGTCCTATTCACACATGAAGCACCCAAGTATCTATAGTGAATGTGTGTAGGAAATGCAGCTCACCCCCAAAACATGGAAAAGAGGCACTGAAAAATGGGAGGAAGGAAGAGTGCATGACACAGGAATGAGCCATAATAGGGTAGGGAAAAATGAAAACCAAGGAGGAAAATCAATGAGAAGGTACAACTTTGGACTCCAATGAGGTAGGAAGACTTCCAAACACTGTCAGTCACCAATATGGTGCCAAACAAAGGGCAAGGAAGAATTGGAGGAGGGAGACACACTTGAGTAAACAGTGTGCACCACCAAGATGATTCCTCCAACTGAGGAAACAAATATATAGGTACAACAGGAAAAGAAGAAAGGGAGGATATGAGTCTCCCCTGAAAACCCAATGAGACCTGGTTGACAGATATGGTGAGGAAAAGAAAATGAAGAAAGTGGGAAAGGAGTTGACGCAAATAGGAAAATAGGGCCTGGGAAAAGTTTGTTACATTTTAAGGGGTGATCCTCATGCCTGAATGAAAAACTCAAAGGCTTGAGAGTCCAGGAAAAAATGCAGAGCCCAGAACTTAACTGGGTTACAACCTAAACAGCATGGGCCCTGAAATCTGCACAGGAAGGATAAACTAACAAATAGACAAAAGGTATCATACCTGGGAAATTATGTCAAGAAATGTTCAATGAAAAACATGGGAACATCCATAGGCACAGCCCTTGCATGCATGGCAAAGGATAGAGGTGGTAAAAGGCTTTCCAAAATGTCATGGCAGCTGGATTTTAATTATAATACATGCAAGGTAATCCATGTAAGATATCCCAATTTGAATTCTGAGCATAATTTTGATAGGAATAACCTTAACAATGTTATGGAAGAAAAAGATCTTGGAGTTCTGACTGACCAGTCTCTTAAATTATCCAAGCAATGTGCTGTTGCCATTAGCAGGGCACATAGGGTTTTAGGTTGTATCAATGGAAATACTGAATACAAGTCTCAAGAGGATATAATGTCATTGTATAGGTCATTGGTCAGGCCATATTTGGAGTATTATGTTCAGTCTTGGGCTCTATGCCTCAAAAAGGATATTGAATTGTTGGAAAGGGTTCAGAGGAGGGCTACTTGGGATGGAAAGGTTATCATATAACGATAGATTAAGATCTCTAAAGTTGTTTTCTCTTATGGATCTGACTACAGTGTTTAAGATTAAGAGAATTGTTAATGTTTAAGCATCATCTTTTTCATATTTAATGGTAAGAATGGTAAGACTAGGGTGCATGAATATAAATTTTAGCAGGGTAGAAGTAATCTTCAGCTAAGGCAGCTTTATTTTTCAAACAAGGGTTTGCCCCTCAAACAGGTTGCCTTTGGATGTGGTGGATGCAGTTAATTTAAGTGATTTTATGGGAAAGCTTGATAAATACTTGAATAATAAGGGCTGACTTTGAGGTGTTTTTTTAAGGGTTTAGTTTAATGGATAGGAGCCTAGATGGACAAAAAGGTCTCTCCCTGTCTTTAATGTGTTATGTTATAAGAAGCAAGTGAGAAGAGAAGCATGTAGAAATAAAAAGGTTAAAAATAACCCTAAAAACATTTTAACAAAAAAGATAGAAATGTGCTAAGCCAAATGTGCTGTATAGAACAAATCTGCATAAGTGTTAAAAAACAACAACATCTGGCTACATGAAACAGTAAAAGTTTAATTCCTCAGAAAACGTTTGAGTGAAGGATCCAAGCCACAAAGAACAGATACATGCAATATATATATATATATATATATATGAATAACAGTGAAATAAACAACATTATTTTTTATTTGATTGTATTCTATTTTGTTAATAAAATGTACATTACCAGTTAGTATACACTTGTGGCCATTAAGTAAGAGTGAGAAAATTCTTTAAAATCCAAAGCAAAAGTATTATAAGTTAATAACTGAATAAGGGCAAAACTATAAAATATTTACTTCTTAAATGAGTAACAGTAGTAAAATAAAGAGACAATTTCAAACTTATATTTACTACAGTTTTTTCAAGAGCAATTTCACATTTCCATGATCACTATCTTATATATATTGCAAACCATTTTTCTATCCGAGCATTTGTCTGTCTTCCAGTAGAAAAGCTGTGCATGCATTCACTTTTGAAATGATGGGAGAACAGGCATGAATGTTGATGCCAAATTTTATTCACAAGCAGGATATTTTACACTAGACTGTTAGGAATTAATCACACTATCATTCATATTTCAAAATGAGATGTAACTTTAAGAATAAAAATGTAGATTTACCATATGTTATTATTGAGCAGCTCTTAGCATGACTGAAATGCTCAACAATTTCTTTTTGTGGTGGGTGGTATAAGCAGCTCAGAGCATTGTCTCAGAGTCAAACCAAGAATGTAACACAATTAACCTTTTTAAATCCATGAAATAATTTAAATTGATAAATTAACTTAAACTTTTTCTATCACTGGGGATGGATACTAAGCTAAGAAAGTAAAATAAGAAGTTTCTAAACTCACTAGTACTGTTGAACTGAGTAATCCAACAACCTCTATATTTGGGTAAAAAGCTCTGAAGCTGAAGAAACACAGGATCTGAACAGAATGCATCAAATACTTTAGTGTAGAAAGCTTTCTCTCTTGGGCCTCTAATGTCTTCTTGAATAACAGGTTTCAAGATACTACCATCTTTATGCTTTAACATACCTATAAAGGAAGCATGTTGTTAATGACAAAATAAATACAATTCACATTTAAAATGTTAATGCTGCATTCTTAAAAATTTACAAAAGGTTGCAAAATTCTGAAGTACCATACACCATACTTAGCTCATTGTAAAACCTTTTATTGCTAGTTTGTTTGAAAGCAGGGCCAATTCTAAGGTTTAAATAAGTATTTTTACAATGCTTATAGATAGAAATACAATATACACCTGATTTATTTATAGTCTGTTTTGTTTGTTACCTAATGATGCTTTATATAACCAGACATGGGAATATAATGTATGGCTGATTTAGTTATAGTCTGTTTTGTTTGTCACCCAATGATGTTTTGTACAATCAGGACTGAAAGTATAATGTATGTTCAATTTTGTTCTCATCAGTTCACTTTAACACCTGATGATTCTTTGCATAACCAGGCTTATAACTATGGTGTATGGCTGATTTAATCATAGTCTGTTTTGTTTGTCACCCAATGATGCTTTGCATAATCAGGAATGAAACTATAATGTACAGTTGATTTTGTTCTCGTCAGTTCACTTTATCACCTTATGATGGTTTACATAACCAGACTTGGAACAATGATGTATAGTTTATTTTGTTTTGGTCTGTTTTGTTTGTCACCTAATGATGTTTTACATAACCAGGCATGGAAATATACAGTGTATTTCTGATTTAGTTATGGTCTAATAAATAAACTTAGTATTCCAAAAATTGATTAATATCAAAGTCTAAGTTCAAGGGATGTCCAGTTCAATCTACATTTTGATCAGTGTGTGTTATTTGGTTATACTCATTTCAGAGAATTCTACTCCTCATCAGTAGTCCTGAACACAAGTTGACTAAAGAGAAATAAGCTAGACCTATATCATAGTGAAAAATATCAAACATACTGTTGATTTGAATGTGCTTTTAGTCAGTATGAGAAAAACCTATACACTGGACAGGTGAAGTGAAGAAAAATTGGCAGGTTTTTCTCATAGTGACTACAAAACATGTTTGTATCAACAGTATGTTTGATAGCTATGGTCTGTTTTGTTTGTTATCTAATGATATTTTACATAACTAAGTATGTAACTATGGTGAATGGCTGATTTAGTTATAGTCTGTTTTCTTTGTCCCCTAGTGATGTTTTACATAACTAGACATCATGAGACATGGAACTATATAGTGTTTTTCTGATTTAGTTATGGTCTACTTCAGTTTGTTACTTAATGAAAGCTACATATAATATAGTTATAAATGAAACAGCTATTAATTTTACTCTCTCATAACTAGTTTAGAATATATCTTTATTTGGGTATATTGAGGTAGTTTTCTGTGTTTTTCATGCAGGCATTCTGCATGTAGTATGACATTCTTGTTAACTGAATATGAATAAAACTTAATAATATTTACTAATCCTTTTGCTGAGATAAATGTTCCATATGCCAAAGGGTAGAAACTCATATCACTTTAGCCTTGTGTCTGTGTTCTCTCACTAAGTAGGTGAAGCACATCTTAAAAGGTGACTCATATGCTTGTCCAAATTGGTATGAGTGATGTGTATTTCTTTCATATAAATGTTGTATGGAACAATCAGCAAAGTATGCAGCCTTCAATTCTGGTTTATGGCACTTTAACATTTTTGTTGAGTTTGGTAGAGAATTCTTTTTGTCCTTGTCTAGTGAGGGTGTGGATGAGAATTTCTCTAAATTTCTCTCCTTATCTCAGCAACAACAGGCTGAGTAGTTTAGGTATGGTTTGGAGCATTTGTAAATAAAGTTCACTACTGTTAGGGTTCACATGTTGAATCATATTGAGCAATTTTATGTTTTTTTGCCTGTCACAAACTTAGAATAAATAAATGTTAAAAGAAAATGAGAAATTATCAATTGCTTATGTAAAGGGTATAGGAAATACCAGCAGTAATAATTTGGAATAAGTAAAATAATAACAGCTTCTTTATATTTGTTTTCATGTGTCTCGTGTTATCAAATATTCTTTAACCAACAAAAAATGAACTTGCAAGCAATTTGGTGTATAAACAAATTTTGAAAAATGTTCTTAAAATTCAAGAGGTTCATAAGGAGCCTGTCAACACCTCTATGAAGCCTTAAAAAAAAGAATCAACTATCTTTAAATTAAAATGAGCAAAAGTATAATAAGGTATTTTTGTAAAACAAGAGAAGAGATACAAAAAATGCCATTTACAAGCTATTACAAAGGATAAGTGTAAGTACTGTATTTTTTGTATTTTCAATTTGAACAGCACCATATATTACACATGGGCTAAATGTCCTGATCCCTTAAGATTCAGGATTTCCTAATATATAACTGCTGAACAAAGGAAGGGTAACCAATACCTAACATCTATTAAGTGACTACTCTTTTAAAAGAATAGCAAAATTGACAGCCAGTTTTATAATGCCCACGTTCAGTGGCATAATTAGTTCAAACTTTGGACCTTACAATCCACAGTTCAGTAAAATAACCTCTGACATGTATAAAAATATGGATGTGGGAAATTTAATCAGCAGAACACCAACAGTGATATTCTTAACAAAAGAATCTACTTTAACGACTATAGCTGAGCATTATTGGAATTTGCTAACTGGTTAATCATCAGGCTCATACTTGATTCCAATCAACTAGTGAATTATATATATATACAACATTTTAATTATTTTTTGAAACTGTATAACTATGCAATTACTGTCAATTGCATCATACTGGTATTTCTATTTGCAAAACAGAAAACTTAACAATATTCTCTTATCTATCAAAATATTTATGTGACATGAAATATTTATTATTCCAATTTGATGGCAGATGACAAACTGAGAATTACAGTTTTGAGATCATAGTAGTCTGAAGTACTACACAGAAGGAAAACTCACACACCTCACATTCAGAAGAATACACATACAAAGCAAAGAGCTGCTGTAAATAAGGGTTAAAGAGGATCAGTTGCATCATGTGACAACTGACATATAACCAGTGTAGAGACTAAATATTGTTAAAATAACAGTCATCAGTAGTTATTCATAGCCATTCTCATTGTGAAAAGAAAGAAACTGAAAAAGTTAACCCAGAAAGGATCAACAGTGTGAATGTGTTAACTTAGTGAGAAGAACAACCAAACCATTTCTTTGCTCAAGTTTCAAGAATCAAAGTTCATATATTTAAACCAATAACACAATCTCAACTTAACTTTTGTACATTTGCATTAAATTAAAATATAATTACACTAAAGAAGTGAGAGTTATTGCTGGAAAAAGATCTCAGAAAGAAAGAAAAAAGAAACTGATTAACAATGAACCTCCTGAAGCTCAACAAAAATATCCAGACTGTTATAGTATGTGACACGGCCAGGTGTCATACTTGACGCATAAGCTGATCAAACATTTTTTTTAATGAAAAAAGGCAATTATATGCTTAAAATCCAGATTGAGATGTTTTCTAATTGATAATTCCAAAACATCTATCTCCAGAGTGATAATGTATGCAAGCTCCATTACAAGTATTCACATAACATACAAGGCCCTTGTAACCTGATCAAACAGAAAAGACAGCAACCTCTTACTTCGACTACACATCCAAACCCATGGGAAAAAAGAATTGGCCTAATTACAAAAACAAGTAATTATTGTGAAATTAGGACTTAGGTAAAATATATAATAAAAATGTGAGATTTAAATAATCTCTAAGTAAACAAAACAAACAAGATCTCATAGAAAAGGAAAAAAAATATTCCCAGAGTCAGAATACATACATAGGGATCTTTAAACAGACTGGCAAAAGTTGAGACTGTACACATGTGTATAACAGTTAAGTTTTAAAAAGACTGGTGAACACACTAATGTCACATTGGCAAAAAAAATATTAAAATAAAGGCAGAGTGGTAATCATAAATAATTGAAAGTGTGTGTGTTCTTAATACTTTAATATGAAGCATAAAAGGTTTAAGGCCTATGCCTTCAAGGCCTTCTACAAGTGTTGAAGATTTAACATGAATTTTATTAAACTAACTATTTTCAGATTTTAAAATTTTACATACAAATGACTTAACAAATAGTGTTTCATGCTATATAAATTAAAGAGCCTCTAGTACCAGATCAATTCTGAAACAAGTGACCTAAGCTCTGCCAGAGGTGGAATCTATACATGTAATATTAGAACTTTGCTAAGAAACAAATAGTCCAGTGTGTTTAATGCATAAAGAACTTTTTGTGTCCATTCACTTCATTTCTTTACTTTTAAGGTTAGAGTTATAGCTCATTTCTGTCTGTAGTGTAAAGAATGTATTGTAACTCAAACTTTGTGCCAGCTACAAAAAAAAACACATTTTACTTTGTTTATTGTACTCTTTTTCTGGTAAGAAAACAATATATATATATATTTTTAATTTCAGGAAATCTGATGATTCAATAAAGGCATTGGAATGTATTCTTGCATATAAAATTTAGTGTAAAAATCTTCTTAGAAACTGGGCAACACAAAATGATCCAAAAAGGAAGCAGATGTTGCTTTTAAGACTTTATTGAGACAGATTTTCACATGTAGGCTTGCTTACTATTTTACTTGATGCTTTAACTGCAAATTTATTTTCAACTTTTTTCTGAGTTTACCCTAAAACTTATAAGAAACATTGTAACAATGAGCTGTCAGCTGCCACAACTTACTTACAGTATTGTACAATGAAGAATTAGAAAAAAATATATTTACATAAGTACAATGATTGATATGTCACTTGAAAGAAATAGTCACAAATATTTTTCTAGTACACATGGTCCACCTATTGGAGAACATCAAGAAACAAAAGAATGAAGGGTACTTCATTTTAATAGGATGATTAAAAAATCAGATAAGATAGAGGCAGAAAAATTAACTAGTGATAATGTTTGTTTTTTTCACTATGATTAACCACAAAAGGTCCTGAGAAATAAGACCAAGTGAGCTGTGGCTGACAAAAAATGATCATAGAACTAGTGTCACAACTAGACCCCATAGTGCCCATGGAGCAAATTTACATGGGGACCCTTAAACAATGTCTTTAGTTACAGTGGGAGCCACCCAAAAGGCTAGGGGGAGCCTCAGGGGCCTGTGGACTTACTCCAATTAGTATATAGGTAGTTGCACATATCTGTGCATGGAATACATATATACATGCATGTAAAAACAGCACAAACTAGCATAAAATGATTAATACATGTGAAAATGGTAAGGAATTCTAAAATGTTCTTAAAAGTGAATGTGAAAAAGATCTCCTAGTAAGAACCAGGTACAATGGTATTTGAAGTATCAATGAATATAATATAATAGTTAAATATCGTTTTACGAGTTATATACAATTCATGCCACTTTAGTTGTGAAGGCTTCCAGTCTCCATTATCTAAATCCCAAAAACAGTCCTAATAAATAAAGCTAGTAAACTAAGCCTTTATATCATAAACTTTTATTATTTTGTTTAGCTTTAGAAACTTCCTATGAATGAATATATGAAAAGTTTGAAGCTTACCAAGTTTATGTTTTCCTTTACCATGGAAGTGACCAGCAACTTGATGAAGCAGAACAGTAGTATCATCTGGTAATGTGGTCATTGTCCTTGAATAAAAGAATTGCTCCCAAGCTGTATTCAAAGAGAGTAAACAAAATCTCACTTACATGCTTTCAAAATTTCATTCAGATAATTGCTGAGAATATGTTGCTTATATGTTTAAAAACTACACAATCATTGAGACATAATAACAGAACACAATGTTTAGAGACAACAAGGGACCTACTGGTCCATTTAGGCTGTCCCATCCTCTAAACTAAAACTATTAAATATCATTCACATAGTTGTCAAGCTTTTCTATAAAATCACTCAAATTTACTGCCTCCACAACATCTGAAAGCAACCTTGTTAGAAAAATAAAACTGTCTCAGCTGAAGATGACTCCTACTCTGCAAAAATTTATATTTTTGTCCCCTAGTCCTACCATTCTCACCAAAGTTGTTCATGGAAACAATTAAAATCTTGATTTTTTATTTCAGTAAAATAGCCATTACAAGTTTGTTTATATTGAAAATAACATAAATTCAAAACCTGAAGCCATACAGAGACAATATTAAACTATCTACACATTCCAAACATAACAAACTTTAATTTCATAATTGTGTCTCAAAATACATACATAGTTTTTTATAAGTCTTCACTGTGTTACAAAGCAGTAACAAGTACACTCTAAAGTAGTTTACCATATCACTGATAGGATATAATTGACAAGAAGTTGAATGTAATGGTTTCTTATATGAGTAATCTTATTCTGAGATGCAAAAATCTCAAACAAATATTACTTTTAATGAAATATGCTGAACCACTTCTTGAGGAGTTCAGAATAGAGAAGACAGTAATACCATGAATATGTGGGTTGAGATAAATGCAAAGAGTGGGTTATATCTGATAAAAGTAGGTTAAGCTTTAGGCCTAAAGAAGCTCAAAGGTTACTGTTTGAAGAGAAGTTGACTCTTTGAGGAAAAGTGCAAAATTAGAAAATGGAAGGAGTGAAAAAAGCAAAGAAGTTTCAGAAATGCAATAAGAAAATATGGATAAGAATCTTAAAGTAAGGTTGTTCTTGTGAGAGAATAGGACTAGGAAGCAAATACTGTGTATATTAACTGCACTCTCAAAAAGTTCTAGGGCTGAGGGAGCAAGTCTTCAGGTGAAAGTAACAGTAACAAATAGATATACCCTTTGCTAGTAGTAGTAGTAGTAAAGCTAATACAATTTTAGTGTATTTAAATATATGTGGATTACAAGTCAAAAGAAGTGATTATCTTACAATACAAATTACTGATTACACCACATGAGAAATACTGTGTACAATTTTGGTTTCCTTACCTAAGAAAAAATAAAGACTTAGCAATAGGGTTCAGAGGAGGACTACCAAGTTGGTTCCAGGAATGGAAAAGTAATCTTATATGAATATGTTAAGATCTCTTATTAATGTATTATCTTTTGAGAAAATAAAGGTATGAGATGGTCTTATTAAAGTTTAGAATATTATCCAGGGGATCAACAATATAAAAGACTCTACTTTCTTTGTGTTATATTCTGAGTACAATGGGACAAGAAATTTATGATTTGGCAAAGAGAAGCTAGGTTCCAGTTAAGATAATATGATTTTTAACACAGGGTAGCTGACTTATGAAAAGAGTTGCTGTTCACAATGGAGCCAAAACTTTACAAAAGTTTAAGAGAAGAATCAATAATTTCTTAACACATAAAAGGTAGACCTAAATTTTACTTTTCTCAATGATGGATATGCAAGGAATAGATAGCCTTGAAGAATCAAATGGGCCTTGTTGTCCATACATTACATTAAATTGAACAACAGTGGGTAAATGCCTTTTTATCATCACTCCTTTCTTTCTATTCTAATACTAAGCCAATTTTCTATCCACTACTTTTCCATCATTCACATAAGCATCCAACTTACTAATACTGTAACGAATTAATATACTGTTACTTGGTTCAAGTGAATTATAAGTAGTTGGTATATCAGTATTATATTTTCATTTTATGTTGTTTTACATCTAAACTTACTGTATTTTCTTCACTACTGTTAATTTCATAATACAATTAATATTTTTAATATTTTGTACTGTGTGTTCTAATTCGTGTTTTATATATATATATATATATATATGATAGATAATCTTTTTCCTGATTTATAAACTTTTGAAAACATAGTTTTCATTTGCCTTGTCTACAAATTATCTTCAGAATCCGAAATATAGATATTTAAACTTAAAGCAAAACTCTATCTCTTCATAGGTTACTTTCAAAATCGATTTTGTGCTGTTCGTGTAAGTTAGAATTTGTCCAAACATTTGTTGTACAATATTATGAACACATGAATGAGAAATTTAGTATTCAGCTTGAATTCACTGTGATTTTAGTTATTCAATGGTAACAGAAAACCCCGAAAGACTAAAAACCTCCTAATTTACTTGTTTACATATACTTATAAACATACCATTAAGTTATAAGTTAATATTTATTATAAATATAAGTCAGTTAACATGCTATGTAACTTATAAAATAAAGTTATACTTGGGCTTAGTTGTAGGCCAGGCTAATAGTAATAGATACTTCGATAGTTTGACTCACATATCCAATTGAGAAGCCGTGGAGTGATCCAGGGCACTAATGAAATACTGATTTTTTCCCGCTGACTAATGAAGGAATGGGATTCGGAATACAGATATCCTGATTAAGAACGCCAGCCTAACGCTCCCATTAACGTTCTATAATTTAAAGTAGGTAATAAATTCCTTATAAAAAACATTTACAAAGAAGTTAGAAACATCATACAATACATTACTCGCCTGAGCTTATTACATACGATACGAAAATCTGGTTTTCGTTCAACATAATATTTCTAAAGTACATCTTAAATCTGTAACTCAGTAAATGGAACATCAATGATTAATAAAACTTCACAATGGGCGGGGTTAAACGCAGAACCATCACATTTTCAAAAGAATAACATCCGAATTCTTAACAAAAACTATTAAAACGTTATTCTTAGAAACCAATATTATTATAATAAAAAAATCACAGATATCTTACTAATGTGCGCAGAAATTTGTTGTATTAAATCGACGCCGTTCATCAGCTGTACACATCCGCAAACAGAAATACATATGGATCGTCGGTGCGTTATAAAGGTGACAGTCAAATCCTACTGTTCTGTCAGAGAAAACTAGCTCAAGAGGTGTCAGTTGGTACTGCTGACTAGCTCCTTCCCTTTAGTTTATCAGTTTAAAAGCTGGAACAGCTAGCTCGGATATCCGAAACCAACCAAATATATATCAATTAACGAGTGTATAGCCCCGGGGGGTAGGTTGTAAGTCTGAGGGTTTATAACGCTAAAATTTAGGTTTCGATTTACACAGTTGTCATAGCACAGTAAACCTACTGTGTAGCTTAGTACGGAATAGCAACCAAACAAATCAGTATATAATGTCGAAATATTTTGTAAGTGAATTCTAAGAACTTTTGAGTGAAAGAAAAGTGGAATATGATATTGTTACGTCTCCGTTTGTTAATTAACTTTCCGTAACTTCGTTCCGACGAAACTTTAGCGACACAAGTCCTTACTTAATAAAGCTGGTTTATTCTTTCCGAATACAACTTTACGATACACTTATTTTAAACAATCACGCTAAAACAAACGCTATATCAACTATACGTCTCTCTCTGACTGCAGATCAATTACACACTGTCTACACACATTACATTACATTCACGTTGTCACCCTCTTTTATATACCAGTCTACCCTATATCTAGTAAATAC